ACATTCCGTTGGCATGATGTGGAAGATTGGAGAGGGGTTGCAAACTCAGGTGTTGTCCTCGTCACTTTACCGTGGTTCAAAATTACGTCAATAGCTCTTGCTTTAGAGAGTGCTACGTAATAATAAATTCCACAGGCACCAATACTGAAAATAATAGCTTTTTTTGTAACACTCAATTATGCTCATTTTATTCTATGTCAAGGGTGTCAAACTCGCGGTCTGTGGACTGCATGTGGCCCACAGCGAACATTTTTGCGGCTCGACTAGTATATTGGCCCACAATAATATATAATAAAATATCAAAATTTCACCCGAAACATAAAAGATAGTGGCTGAGAGGTTGCGTGGCAGGAGCGGACGTGGCAAGAGCGGACGCATAACATTTCGTGACCTTAGCGGACACTTTAAAATTCATCGTGGTTTGAGCGGACACATTCCTCCCCCCATCTTAGAACAGATTCGATTATTGAATTACAAGTATAAATACATTTTTGCCAATCAAATTTAATTTGAATTAAATTTTTAAGATATTAAGTGCGAATACACTTTAAAAACATAGCGCAATGTAATAAAAGTAAAAACTTTCAGAGAAATATTTAGAAATTGTAGAACTGTATTTTAGAGTCAAATAAATATTAGAACAGGTGCAATTACCATAAAATTAATTAGTTTCATTAATGTAAGTAAATGTATACATTAAAAATTAGATGTAAAATGTACAAAACAGATACAAAAGTAAATAAAAGAAAAATAAATACAAGTAACCAAATACTAACCTTTATTATGAAGGCATAAATATCCTTTACCATTGGATTTAGTCCAATCTAGTTACAAAACTTAAAGATTTTAGGCATTTTTCTAAAATGTTTGATGTTTCGAATTCTTTTAAGATGTTTTCAATTCTTGCATCCAATTTTACAAATGTTTTTTTTTTTCTTCCTTTTTATTCCAGGATCGCCTATTTCTTTGGATTTCAAATTAAAAAACTCTTTTTGTGTTTCTTCTTTTAGTATTTTAACTAATAAGTGTGTGTGGATAGTAGGCTGGTTTCTGCCAGTGATTGCATTTAATTTGGAATTCCACCCTTCTACTGTCCGCTCTGGCTACGTAACCGTAGCTGTTCTAAGATGAGGGAAAGAATCTGTTCTAAGATGGGGGAAAAATGTGTCCGCTCAAATCACGATGAGTTTTAAAGTGTCCGCTAAAGCCACGAAATGTTATGTGTCCGCTCCTGCCACGCCACCGGCTGAGAAGAGATGTCAAGTGTCAGGATGTAAACATTAAATTTTCTTGTTCTTTTATGTATGTTTATTATAATGCATTATTCAAAATAAACTTACGTTTCTATGACAATTGATTTTTTTTTGCGGCCCACCTAAAGTTAAGCCCTGTTTGTTTCGCCCAAGTTAGCCTTTCAGTTTGACGTCCCTGTTCTACGTAAAGGAATTTTTATCATTCTAAAGTGTCGATAGTAATTTGGAATGCAGAAGTTGAAGAATTCCAAATATCAGATAGTTACTTTACTTCTCAGAATAAAAAACAAAAATAGTATATATTTCACCAGTAGATGCATATTTATATGTCATATACATAAAACATTAACGCATAAAATTAGCTTAGCATAAATTAAAACATAAATAAAATTCTCCGAATGATTTGAGGATTAAATTGAAGAGACCTATGTGTATTTCAAAAGATGGTTAAAATAAAATTTATTTAACGTAAGTTAAGAGTATCTTGTCGTGTTCAAAAAGTTTTAAACACGAATATATTCGTCACATAAAGAAAAAAAAAAGGGGGGGGGAGGGATATATGAATTTAACTTTAGAGAGAATTTTTAAATATAACCAGACGATACAAAAAGAAAAACAAGGGTTAAGAGGTAAATAATGGGGAAATTTGAGAAACTGTCTTAAATTATCAAAACACGTAAAACACATAATTCACGAAGAATTTAAACCATGGATTTTATTTATTCACTTATCGGTTTATCTTGAATAAAGACATGAAACTGCGTCAGAATATTTCTGACGATAGGTAAATAATAATATTGTAATTTATTGCGTATATTTACAAGAAAATAAAATTCAAGATCCTCTTAGTTTTCGGAGAAAATGTAAACATTTTGAATACATTTTTTCTCTTTCGAACTCATGTACCCTTCCACGACCTGGAAAATTGTTAATGAATTTTTCTCTACCAGACTACTATAAGACGATTTCTTTCTTTTAATACTGCTTTAAGCCTTATCACACGTACACGTTTGTAGCAATTTTTGCTCCAATTCTTGCAATTTTACTCCTTTGCCATAACAACGACTTTCGAGCAATTGTTTGCAGGTGAGCTGAAAAAGTTGCTCCAAATAAAAGCTGCTTGAAATTCCAGCCAATGGGGTTCTTCGGCGCCCTACGCCATAAACAAGATGGCGGTAACGACAGTAGCTTCACATCAGATATGGCATATAATATTTTAATGGTGTACAATATTTTAGCAGCGTATAATATTTTTTACAGAATGGTGCTCCATTTCTGTTTACGCCCATCAACAAAAAAGCGCGAGTGAAATAAAAGAAATAATATTGAATGGTCGCTTTCGAAGCAGAAAAATCGGCGAGTTATGTTTCAATGTGGAGAAAGAGCACAGCTGATGTCAAAGCATGAAGTTTTGCTTACGGTAACCCTTCACCCTCAGATCGGGCTAAAAGTTGGGCCAAAAAGTTGCACGAAAAATGTACGTGTGATACGGCCTTAAGAATATCGTATCAAAATATTTATTCTATTTGAAACTGGAAGTTAATTCCATGTGTTCCAAACAAAACAAATTAATTCCAAAATTTAAATAATAGTGATAATGAATTATGTTATCTTTATTTTATAAAGAAAAACAATTTTTTTTCCCGTCAGAAAGATAGTAGTGAAGGTAATGAGAATAATTAGTAATTTTATTATTAATTGCTTGTAAAAGATATACATTTGCTACACTACATTATTTCCTCCTATTACCACTTTGTTGTTGGGATTTATGTAATACAGGATATTGAGATTGTAAGTAGATCGACCAAAATGTGAAAAGTCTTGGCTTCACCTCCACAATAAAAGTTTATTTCATCATAGAGAGAAACGGAGTTGTAAGTAACGGGGAAAATCGCTCTTAACTTTTTGTACTCGTATGTCACGCTGAAAATGAAAATATAAATTTGTTATAGAACTCATATGTCATGTTGGAAGTGGCAACACTAATTTATTCTGAAACAAACAGTGAATGTAAATATTAAATAACTAGACAAGACTTGTAGGGCTTGCAACCCTTGGATCTGGAAATCCCAAGAGAAGATCCCGTTGTTTCTTCCAATCCCGGGATTAAGATAGCTAATCCTGGGATTTAATTATTTAATTTTTGTCTGAATTATATCTTAAAATTTTTTCTCATCAAAATTTTCTAAGAATTTAATTCTCAGAAAATTTATAATTCTTAATGAAATATGTGCGTAGAATTTTTTTGTGTTCAATTATAAATGCTATTAGAGTAAATATATATATATATATGCAGCTCTCATTTCTCGTATGAGAGAATGTCGCACAGGTCTAAGTGGTTTACTCTGCAGTATTAACACAATAATACAAGTAACAATTCAGGAATAGATTTTTTCACAGTTCTTTCTTCAATTAATTGACGTAAATTAATAGCGGACCTGCTGAAAAACTTGACGCTTCAAATCCCACTGCATTACTAACAGCTCATGCAACAGGATCTTATATTTCAAATAAGGCAACACTAATTCACATTTGGATTCAATAACTGAATCAATTTGTCCTCAAAAACCATTAAGATGGACAGAAGAACTATATAAAGTTATCAAAGAAGTATATGCATTAATGCTGGCTATTACATTTGAAGACATTGACATCGAAAATTCAAAAAGAGTTGCCTCTTTTTTGAAAATGGAGGGAGACGTGGCGACTACCTGGAAAAAACATACTCCCATTTATAATGACGCTAAAACCTACTAGAGAAGAGTCTGAACAGCATTTTCTTCGGCTGACAATTTGTAACAAAAATAAGAACCCGTTTGATTGTTGAAATGCCGGACGAGCTGTGTTTTTTAAAAGCTTATTTACGGAAACACAAGAAATGAAGAAATGCTTTTTTTAAACTTCATTATGTACTATTTTTATTTGTTTTTATGATGAATTAAATTTTGTTTTCAATAAAAAAATATTATTAAACCCATTTTTAATTATATTTTTAGTTTTATTATGTAACTTCAACTATGCTAATGTGTAAGTATTTTTAATAAATAGCCCAATCCTAAACCCCGGGATTTGGATAATGTAATCCCGAAATTCCGGGATTGAAAATATAACACGGGATTGCAAACCCTAATACACTTGTGACATTTGAGATCTCTCTTAGAATTAGTCTGCCAAGCTTTGTGAGTATATCAGTACAGCTGTATTTAGAAGCTATGCACTGAGTGTTTTTTTTTTAAATTTATCTAATTCAGTATATACACTAATTTTCCAATTCAAAAAGGATTATGAAAACACGCACTCAAGATAGTGAGAATGAATTAGAATTTACTAATATAGGGTTCTTAATTGTCATGGTGATGTGGTATTGCAAACTCATCCCTGTTTATACGTAAATTAATTCTTTCCTTAATAGAATATTTCAGATAAACAGGAATAAGTAATATATATATATATATATATATATATAAAATTTGTCAATTCCTATTTAGGTCAACAAAGAAAATTTTTATTTTAGTTACTCTTTATTAAATAGTTACAATTGATATAAATATGTATATACATATGACAGAATCACAATATTAAGTGGCAAAATAGAAAGCGATTTTCCTTGCAATTTTCAACATTTTGCTTTCTGTATATGGTGTTGAACTATTATTTTTGCTTTTGTTCCTATTTATTCATCAATTAAATTTAATTATTCCAATAAAATATCATAGTAAAAAGAAATCACATTCACAGAAATTAGGCCATTCCAGGTGGGATTCCAACCCACGACCTTCGAATTAAAAGTCCAACATGCTATCTATTGCACTACAGGAATACAGTGAGTGATTTTTTTATATATATAGTGTTGGACTATTATTTTTCTTTGTTACCATTTATTCATTAATTATATTTAATTAATGAATTAATATTTGAAAAAACTGTATTAACATCAAGTGTCATCCACTATAAAGTTTGCGATATGGTACCCTAAAAATCATAAAACTGTCGAAATTTTTTTTTATTGGCTTATTTGATTCCTCAAATCTTTATAAACATGCCTGTAAAATTTCAAAGCTTCACCTGCATTTTTTTAATCAAGTTATGGAGCAATATTTGATGCTAGACAGCAACTACCACGCCCACATTTCAGATTATCTGCTAGAAAAGAGCCTGATAAAAAATGAATTAATTATTTATCTACCGCGCGTAAGTGAGACTGACATTATATATGCAGTAACAAATCATTTCAAAAAAGGATTGTGCAATTCATGCAAAAATTCTTGTTTGTGTATTGTTTATTGGGGGGGGGGAGAGCAAATGGATTTGGTCAAGATTTAAAGTTTGTGCGTGCTTTTTATGATATTATTATGAATGAAATTAAAACTTCAAAACGGATTCTCCCAAAGCACAAATACTAAATCTCATTTTGATAACTCAGATAATTAAAAAATCTAATTCGCAAAAATAGACAAACTCTCCCATTTTTATATATTTGTTTTTGGTGATATATATCTATCCCATGTGAGGGAAATTTAAAACTTTTATTATTAAAATATTGTAAGATATTTATTTAAACAAATGCACATATGCAGTTCTTAGATTTTGATATATTTTACCTATCAATTGCTATTTAACTTTGCTCTCATTCGTGTACAATATTTAACATGCGAAGGCTTTTAAAATCATGGAAATAAAAAATAAAGGCATAAACATCTTTTGTACATGTTGTGCATTAGCTCTGAGCATGGAATTAGCTCTGAAGTGTGTGTCTTTATTTTTTTTAATAATTATTAAGATAAAGTTTTATGAAATATTGATCTTTCATTCGTTTTCCTCTATATATTCATTATGGCAGTATACTGTTTAATTCTTCTACATTTGTGCAATTTTTTATGGTAAGCAGTTTTAAATAAGCTAATTAACATTCCATAAGAGTTTCAGACTATTCGATGAATACTATATCATAGTATTCATGGAAGGAAAACTTCAAACTAATTTTTCTCCAAGTTGAATTTTTGTACATATACTGTTATTCAAAACCCTAAGGCTTTTTTGATAACTGAAGTAAGGGTTTGAAATTTTTTATACATATTCTGAAATGTATGTTTTGTAAAACTATGCATGGAATTAGCTCTAACATGTTTAGTACTTTTTATAAAAAGTTTCAAAATCAAAATTAACGTTTTTTTGAAAATTTTTGGAAGTTTAACTATAAAAAAATTAAAGAGCAGCAGCAGAAAAAAAATCAATGCATAGTTTTATGTAGTATATTATAAGGTTCTTGGAAAAAAAAATTTGAAAGAAAAGAGACATATTTTAAAAAGCCTTAGAAATTAAAAAAAAGTATAAAAAAGTTCAAAAAATTTAAATTTTGCCACAAATTAATAATTTTTTGTATGGAATTATATTATTAAATACTAACCTTTATAAAATACAATTAAAACCAAATATCAAGCATTAAAAATAAAAAAAAATGTGAAGATGGTACCATATCGCCTTAAAAAAGTGTATTTGAACTTGAGTGGATGAATAAAAAGTATTTTTTAACGATTGAAAATTTGTCAAGATATAATATATATATATATATAGATAGATAGATAGGGAGAGTGTGAACTATAGTAGGAATTGAAAAAAAACCCCTGAAGAGTTATTAACGTCAGATTTGGAGAAGCGATTTGATGAAATATTACTCATTTTAAGATCTCATTCCGAACGAAGCAACTGTATGGTCTGTTCGAACAGAAAAATTAGGGGTGGAAGGAAGTTTATTTTTGTGAAACATGCAAAAGCATTTTTTCCCCCTGCACTTCTGGAATTGTTTTAAGAAGAGACACTTTTCTCATGCGCCTTACTGCCCAAGGTCATGAACACTGAGGTGGACATAATGGGCCTTGGCTCTTATGGACTGTTGAGCCACTGAGTCTAGTTTAGCATTAAAAATAAATCTTAATCTGGAATTCTACCTGTAAATTACTTAAATTCATTTCCTTAAAAACTAAATACAGGTTTACACCCAACAATACTGAAAATAAATTGAGTGTAAAGGGTGTGTAAGCTGGTAACCTATTATAAACGGCCTAGTACCTAAGGTTCATAACAAAATTAGGTTATTCATTAAAACAAATTTTCTGAATGTTTGTTCTAAATATGTCAATGTTAAGATCTACTTAAATTACAAATAAAAATTGTTTGTTAATGTATTTTGTTTCATCCAGGATGAATGATTATTTTACTTTACCTTTTACTCTCGTTCGATCCATTTTATAAGTATCATTCAGTTAGTGAATTGTATCAATTACCGTTTGTTAGATGATAGAAATATTCATGGGGTAGAAATCATTCTTGGACAGAAATATTCATGCTACACAATTGCATTCCGGTAACAAAAATACGTAAATAAAACACACAGAAATATCAGAATTTTTTAAAATTAATATTTATTTTTTAAGTATTTCATAGTTTGTTTCCTGAAAAAAAAATAGGCACGTCAAGCTTACATTTTCTTTTACTTTACCTTTAAACACGTCTTCGTATATTGAATTTGAGAGAAAAGCGATTTTTTCTCCCTCTTCTGTTAAATCTAAGCACCGGCTAGGGTGGCGTAGTTGGTTTCTTACTGGCCTTGCACGCCCATGTTTGCGGGTTCGATCCCGGCCCAAGTCGGTGGATTTTCATGGCGCAGAAGTTCGACAGAGTCCATGTTGTATGATAATGCGGCATGTTAAAAATTCGTAAAGTGCCTGCTTGGCTCTCTCGGAAAAATTAAATTCTAAAGAGGCAATTTCGTATCGTTTGAGCTGATGTGCCTCCATCTGAGGAGGAAGCTGTGTGGGCGTCAAAATTAAATTTTGACAATTGGTATCCACCTATACCAGAGATACTCAACCTGCGGGCCGCTCATGACCCATTGCCCAAAAGAATTCAATTATTTTCGAACAATTTATTAAAAATTTAAAGGGAAATCCTCCCAATCAAACCAACCGATTTTGCTGTCGATGTCGTACGGGTGCTAATTGCAAGATTTTTTTTCTTTCTATTTGAAACTGTAATGGTTAGTAATAATAGTGAATGAACAGCGTGAATTTTATGGGTGTGCATGAAACTGATTTTTAATTATAAACCAATGATACTGATTTCAGTCAAAACTCCTCTTTTCATTCTGCATTTGATAAATTAATCTTTGAAATGAAAATAAGAGAGGCTTTGTGAAAAAAAAAAAATCAGATTATATCAAACGGCTTGGCAGTTTTGTTTATATGGTCATGAATGAAAGAGAACCGAAACTACCTGAAACTCAGTAAAAAATGCATAAAAACGAAGAAATGTGTATTTGATAGATTAATATAGTATTAAAAGCCACACATAAATGAGTTTTAAAACTTTGATGAATTTTCCATATTTTAAGTGTCCAATATTGCCTTGGTCTTATGGTGTTTTTTTAATTAATCCTCATTTTGCGGCTCGCATAAAATATCTGCCATGTGTATGCGGCCCGGCGTGCAAAAAGGTTGAGTACCATTGACCTATATGGTGCCGCACCAAAAAGTGAAACCAGCTTCCTGAGAATGTACCTAGGCTGCAATGGTCAATACTAATCGGCAGCCACATTGGAAATAAAAAAAAAGTGTTTAACCCTTATATCATCGAGTTTTTGCCTTTCCCCAGCGTTGGACTTTTTCGCTTCCTTTAAAAAGCGTGTATTGGGGAAGCGTTTGTTTTAAATGTGAAGTAAGTATATAGTTGTCATTTAACTCTAATAAAAAATAAAAATAAATAATAATATATATAATAAGTAATTAGTTAATCAGAATAATTAGTACTAGAAAAATTAAGCTTTTTTTAAGAATACATACATATATATTTGCGTAATATACAGATTGTCACATGGCATCTCACTCGCCTTTAACTTTCGAAAGCCTGAAACTGATGCTATTTCACACAAAATGAAACACTAATTCTCGTGAAATATTGTATTCGAATATCCTAGCACTGATACTTTTTGTAAAAGAAGTAACTACCGTAAAATCCGGTGTATAACGTGCACTTTTAGCACAAAAAATGTGATCGAAATTTACGGATGCTCGTCGAGTATAAAAACGATATCTTAAAAAAAATGAGCATAGAAAAATATTATATTCTATAGCTTGGAATACCTCGAAAAAATGACTTTAAAACATATGAGCATTACAAACGTACATTTCAGGATTCTAATAAACAAGGGGTATGTGCTTTATGTGGCGAATATACGTAAAAATTAAACATTACGGCTTGAAAGCACAGGTGCTTTTTTTGCGGATTTTATGGTACTTAAAAGCGCGATACATGCGTTTGATTGAAACAGTGCAAAATCGTGACGGACGAGTGCAGTGTGTTGTGACGTTTCAGATAAATAAAGGTAGCGTGATATTTATTAATTTAAATATTTAGTTTACTTACGTCACAGCTATTAATTCCAATTTATTCATTGAAGTTTTCAAAATATCGTTCAGGTTCTTAAGAGTCCGAATTCGGTTGTTTGTGAGGGAGGAGGCCACGTTTAGTCTCTACGAAAGTTTTCAACCGTCTCTCTATCTGCTTTGGGATCATAGTGGTTGGTCTCTTTATCCTCGAGTTACATCCAGTTTGTGAGTGGAGTAAAGGGTTCATCGTGGTATCAAAGGTTGCCGGGCGATGTCCAATATAAGGCCACGCAATATTTTAAGGGTGCAAGTGTTCCTTGCGCGTGGTGATCATATCCACAAAAGAAACTGATTTACAGCTGTGGGGCGGGAAACGTTACAGAGTCCATAACGTTGAGGGATAGATTGAATGAAATGAAAGCGCTCAGCACGTTCG